ACTTTTGATCCCAGCACTCAGGAGGCAAAGGCAGGTGAATCTGGGCTTGAGGCCTATGTGGTCTACATAGTGAATTGCCTACAGGGCAATGCAGTAAGACCCTGTCCCCAAAACAAACAAATAAAATAAAAGAACACTAAAAAACCAAGAAAATTTTTGTAATACATTAAAAAAAAAAAAAAAAAAAACAACAACAAGACACTGCTCTTTAAAATTAAAAAAAAAAAAACTAACTAAATAGGGAAGTTCTGTCAGATAAAATTTATTTAAGAAATACAAAATATTTTTCTGTGGTACACACTTTTCTCTGCCAAATACTATAAAATGGCCAGTGAGATGACTCAGGGAGTAAAGACACCCGCAGCCAAGCATGACAACCTGAGCATGAAGCCTAGAACTCACAGCGTAGTAAAAACCACCCCACCACTCCTGCAAGGTGCCCCAACCCTGTATACAAATGCTGGCCTGGGTTACCTTTCTCCAAACAAAGAAAAAGGGATAATACTATAAGAAATATCACACTACGGATAAAGAAGGAACTAAATTCCCTATTTACTCTTCTTTCATACAATACATCCTGACCACAGCTCCCACTCTTTCCAGTTCCCCCACTTCTCCCCTCTCCTCGAGACCTACCCCACTCCATCTCCCCCCAGAAAACAGCAGGCCTCCCAGGGACATCAACAAAACACAGGACAATAAGCCACAATAAGACCAGTCACATTCCCTAAAATCAAGGCTGGGCGAGACAAGCCAGTAGGAGGAAAAGGGTCCCAAGAGGACACAAGAGTTAGAAACACCCCAATCCCAGTGTCAGGACTGTGTCTTAAAACCATTTAGTAAGACATTTTAAAAATATTAATTGTAAGTAAATATGTAATCACAAACTGGTATGCTATAGTGGTAGAAACTGTATTTAGCTGCAGTATACAGTGCCTAAATTTATCTGGCCACAGCCTCCAGAAATAAACTACACTTCCCAGTCTTCCCTGCAACTAGTGAGGCCATGTGACTAAGTTCAAATCAAGGGGATTTAACTGAAAGTGATACAAAAAGCTTCCAGTAAACATCCTTAAAAATAAAGGGCTCCCTCTCTGTTGATTTCCCCCTTCTCACCAGATGGAGCTGCTATTTTGGACTCTGATGTGAAACTTCATGCTGAGAATGGCAGAGCAAAGAACAGGAGGTGCCTGGGTCGCTGACACCGTATGAAAAACTGTTTCCAGCCTAGTCCACTTTTGGATGGCAGAGAAGCACAAGTTTGCCTGTCTAACTCATCTTTACGTGGGGTTTGCCACTCACAGACAAAACTGATTGTAAATAAAAGGCTTAACTGAGATTATTAGTGGAGAAAGGCGCTTCGGGGTTGGCTCCTCAGAAGAAGTAACAGCTCTCGGCAGTGAGGTGAAACCAGACAGGTAGGCTGCAGACCAAGGCAGCGAACACCTAACTGCAAGAATATCACCTTCAGCCTAACTCCTCCTAGGGACGAGGGACACCCTTCAATAGGCTGAGACTCCCTGTTGGGCTAAGGGTGTATGCAGTGCAGTTCTGACAGTCACTTGCTTATCATGCACAAAGCCCTGGGTTCCACCCAAAGCAACTGAGCATTCTGGCTCCAGAATCAGAGAATCTCTCTCTTCCGCCACAGACCACATATTGCTGTCAGATATAAATGGAGGGGGAGTGCAGAATGAGAATGAATCCTGTTAAGGAAATGGATTGCTGCTTCCACACTTTGGCCTCACTATGGTTCAAAATGGTTGAAATCTCTGATTAGAGTGGATCATCTATCATGATGAAACTGTCACAAAGTTTTCAAATGCTAACTACTCCAGGTACAGACCAGAGATTGGTGTTATTTTTTTTTAATAATGTTTCTTGTTTATTCCTATTTTTAAAATGAAACACATGTAGTATGGTGATTTTTAAAATACACACAGAAGAATATGGGGGAAAAACAACTATTATGTAAAATCACCACCTCCCAACATTTTCTACTGATAACACATTTACATACACACAGAACAAAGATGAAGTTGTAATGCAGATAGAGTCCTAAACACTGCTTAGGAGTGTTAGGAGGTTAGGAGTGTTAGGAGTGTGAGAAGCTATTCCACGTCACTAAACCATGATTTTAATTGACTACAGAGCATACAGATTACTTAGCCAACTGAGTCTAAGAATGTTTTGAGTTAAAAATATCAGACACAAATTGAATCCCTTAGGTGAAGCTGCCTTCTAAATCCACCTTAGAATTTCAACTCTGGAATCTCAAGTTACAGTTTGAAAGCACTAGAAACTGCCAAACAAGCATTCAAGGAAATTCACTGATTTTTAGGACCACATTTTTCCAAAAAAGCACTAACTATCAAAGACTGAAGTTATATTAATTAATAAGAACTAATATTTTTAGTATAAGAACTAGTGACTATCTGCAATGCTGTATTTCTTTAATAGAGCAAAATAAATGTTTATATTTTATTTGTACAACTAACTTTAAATATAGATATATACAAATGCACACAAAAACTGGACGCAAATATGGCAAAGGGTTAAGTCTTTAGCTGTAACTAAGACATTATTCTCTAGATTTTTCTGTATTTAACTTTTTCTCACAACAAAAACACAACATTAAACTATTAGCATATCAATAAGATAACTCACATTTTAGTTACTAAAGTGAAAGGAAAAGTTTTGTCAAAGTCTAAACAGTCTCCTGACAAGGAAAGACAAACAGGTGGCTTAAAAATTCATTAAAAAATAAAACTCTTTTAGACTATAACCCGATGCACAACAGCAAGGTTTCCTGTTGGAATGTTAAGAGCCAGCATTCACGTTTTTGTTTTGTTTTTTGAGACAGGATTTCACTGCATAGCCTTGGTTATCCTGGACTTGGTTTGTAGACTAGGCTGGCCTTGAGTTCACAGCGATCCGCCAGCCTCTGCCTCCCAGAGTGCTGAGATTACGGGGGAGCACCACCACACCCAGTTCAGCGTTCACATTTGACAGTGTTCCTCCTTTAAACCCCGCCTATCCTAATGTATCAAGAAGGCTATTTTATAGTTAAGCAAATACAAAAACACAAGACTGTATTTCAGGTCTTTCTAATGCTAGATGTTTTTGTCAGCTGATGAAAAGGCAATTGCAATTCTCTAAAAGAGGTCAGTTAAGGACCAAGAAGTTACAGAATAAACCAAACTGGTGATTTAAATCAGAATGGCCCCCACAGTTCATATATTTAAATGCTTAGTCACCAGGGAAAAGAACTCTTTGAAAGGATTAGAAGAAAAAGAAGGTGTGGCCTTGTTGGAAGAAGTGTGTCCCTGGGGGCAGCCTTTAAGGTTTCAAAAGCCCATGCCCAGTCTCTCTCCCTTCCCCCTCCCTCCTTTCCTTTGGCCATCCCTTTTCTGTGTCTCTCTAGCTCTGTGTCTGTCTATCTATCTGTCTCCCCCATCCTCTCTGCCTATAAGTCTGATGTAGCTTTTAGTCACTATCCAACACCGTACTCCTTGCCATGAAGATGATGGACTAAGCCCGTGAAACTGTAAATAAGCCCCCACTTAAATGCTTTCCTTGGTCATGGTGTCTCTTAACAGCAATAGAACAGTCACTAAGATACAAACCTTCCCGTCACTTGTCACAAACAAAAAATTTAAATAAATGTAAATTTCTCTGATTGCCCCATTTCCCTGAAACACAGCCTTGAGTTCTTTTAAGTTTGTAAAGGCATTTTCCACCCCCTATTCCACTAATCATTTTCAACTTCTCTCCCTACTAGAATTCATGAAACTCAGTAAAAGTGACTTATTTGTTGGCATCTTGTCAAAGGAACCCTGAACCTATAAGAAGGCTCAGAACTTACAGAGCTCTAAAGCCAGACACTGTCACCAACACACTTCAGTCTAGAGAACCTAACATACTAATAAGTCATGTTTACATTTTTTTTCTTATAGTTGTTTCTCTGCCTCTGCATCCCATCACCTCCCAGTTTTACTCTAGCTCCTCCTAATCTAAAATGCCTCCTGTCTGTAGAGAGACAAGATTGGAAAGCATTAAAGAGAGAGGAATCAAAATCAGTGCTTTTCTCAGCTTAGAAGATTAACTCATCTTTGGTTCTCAAAGTTTATTTCTCCATTTAGTGGAATAAAAAAAAAAAAGATTAGAAATCTGCACGAAAAAAATTATTTGTTGCTATTGTTTAGACAACAACATAAAACTCAAAGTTACTCAAAACCTTTTTGTCAAAACTCTTTAGCAAGGTTTCACCAGCACTGAACTGTCAACTAGTTCAGCTGTCTACCCTTTACTCCAAGACAGAAACTGTTCTCTTAGCTGGAGAGGAATGAGAAAGGAGAAAGAGGATGCTTCTCCAGATCACCATAGACGCGTACAACTGTTGCACTCCACCTGGTGGCAGGAACTCCTCAGTTGGTAAAGTGGAAGCCATGATGCCAAGTTACCAGCGGCACTTACCTTATACAAAACACAAGATGTTCCTCTCCTGCCCTACACAGAGTGAGCCTAACAAATTCCCATCAAAGAGCTTTCAAAGAGTAGGTCAGCATCTGATAAAGATTAACATAAAAGTCTGACAACACTTAGAACAGAAGACCTACATAGAGCTACCTGAGAAGTTAAATGTCATCTCAAACCTTGAAACCCGCGAAGAAGACACAGCTGCCACAGGAATCCGTATCACATACATCCCCTAACTTTCTTTGCCCCTTCCCCTATGGGTAAACCACAGTTTAATTAACAGTTAACGGCAGCCTGCCACACTGCTTTTAGGTATCTGCCAGTAGCATATACTCATGGGATACTCTAGAGACTGACTTCAACCAAAAATAAAAATAGATAAACAGCTCAAGCAAAATTAAACTGTGTCTGGCTGCCCACACTTATTTTCACACATGAAGAAAAACAGCAGTTCTCTTAGAAGCTTCAAGCACACATATCTTTAGAACACAATGTTAAAAATGCGTCCCAGCCTTCCCTACCTGTTTCTCACTCAAAGCTGTGATTTTGGCTTGGAGTTCATGAAGCTGTTTCTTTAAGTCAGCATTCTGATTGGAAAGAAAAAATATCTGTGAGAAAGATATTCATTTGTTAACATAGTAGTATCAGGAAGACTGTGCATATTGCATTATAAGTGATGAAGCAACCTTTAGCTATTAAAGTTTCCATGCATTAAATTATAAGCATAACATCAATTCCTAAAACAAAACAGAGGCCGCTTCCTCCTAACTGTTGAATTACAGGAAGTTTTATACTTTCTCATCTTGTACTCTAACAGTGCCTTTCTCCTAAAATATTGTCATTCTTTACAGAAAGTATCAGTTGCCAGAAAATCTAAAGCTCCACTCATCAGGCAAAAGCAGGAAAATGGAGGTTAAAGTATGCATACCCTGCTGCTTAGCGGCATTATCAACAAAGATAAGAGGCTTTTCTCTCCTTGTCCTCTCTCTTATTTAGTAAAATACATTTGTTATTTTAGCCTAGATTTGGAAAGCTGTCAGCACTGTAACTGCCTTAACGGCACATCATTCAAGTCAACATGCTGAAATTCTAGGAAAGGAATAGAGTACTATTTTAGATGAAATACACTCAGCATGTTTGCCTTTTCCAGGGGTGGGGATAGGGGTATTAAATTCTTCAATTGTTTAACACAGCAGAAAACCTGAATGTCACCCCAACAAGTAACTTACTTGTTTCATACACAGTCCCTGCATTCCCTTGCCTGACGTGCCTGTCGGGGGCACATACTCTCCCCCATACTCAGCTTATTTGTAATTTTTCAGGTGTATCTGACATAAGGCTTCTCTGAGGTCACTTAAGCTGTTGTCTAGTAAGCTACTGACCCTCAGATTTCCCAGGTTAAGAATTTGCTATTGTGTGATCATGAACTAACAGAACTAACAGCTTCTGAGAGTGTGTTAGTTACTGCAGTATAGATCACCATATTAAATACAAAGGATCTAGCAATCTGTTGCACTTACTTCCCTAAATTCAATTTAAATTGTAAACACACTAAAAAGAAAATTAAAATAAAAAAGAGATGGTTCTCATGAAAGGTAGGTTGCCAAATAGAAATAAATGTGGGCCACTACTGCCAGTTCTCAGAGCCAATGAACAGTATTAAAATACAACAATCAGACTACTGAGTCTTCAATTTGAGTATTAGTCCCTACTTCAAAAACAAAACAAAACAATCTGCCTCATTGCCACTCATGAGGAATTTATTGTACTTTACAGAGAAGCATGAATGACCCACTGTCTGATGGGTACCTGAAGAATAAGTATGAAACACTGGAGAGCAAGGTAACTTTGTGGGAAGATTCTCTATGTAAGAGAATAAAATTTTTAAGTCAAATTCCTATAAAAATTAAATTTACCATTTACAGATTATTATATTATATAAGAAGATACTTCTGAAAGCCTCTTTAAAGGGTTCTTTCAAAGATAAAAATTTCAAAGACAGGTTTGGTGACACATGCCTCAGCACTTGAGAATTAGAGGCAGGAGGATTGAAAGGCCAATACCATCGCTGTCTACATATGAAATCTGGGGCTATTCTGGAACATGAGCTCTTGTCCAAAAACAAAATAAAATGAAATAAAATTGAATGTTTGAAAAAGTATTCTAAAATTTTTACTGTGACTGTTGTAAATCTAGTATTCAGGTGTCTTATATATAAACTCTGTACAATTAAAAATGGTTTGTGGGCATTTCAGTTAAATTTAGGGCTTTAAAAAGCCTGGTAAACTCTAATTCTAAAGATGTGAGTTTAATCTAAGCCAGGTATGGAGGCACAAGCCTGTCACCTCAGCATTTGAAAGGTCAAGAGGGAGGGATGGAGAGGTTTAAGCAGACCTAGAGTCTCAAAAGTAGTTTTTTAAAGAAAGATATTTAAACTATATGTATCCTCCAAGTTTTTGTTTTGTTTTGTTTTTTAACAAAAAAAGCAAAATAACAGTAACAAGCTGAAACAACAGCAATCTTATACTACAACTGGACTTTTTTTAACCTATAAAACATGAATATTAACATGCAAAAATATGTATGGTTTGGGAGGCTACTGTGTTTTAAATTTAATATCTCCGTTTTAATGTTTATTTTCTATAATAGTGTATTGTCATTTTCAATTGTTTTCACATTTAAAAAGTAAGTTAATAACAATAGGATTTTTTACCTGTGGATCCTGCTTCATTTGAGCAACCAGTTTCTGGTAAGAAAGAGAGAAAAAGAACTGTCAGTCTCATATACTAACTCCTACAGCTACTCAGGTTTAGACACACACATAGACACACACACACACACACACACACACACACACAATTAGCATCATCATCAAAATAGATCTAAAATTTTGGTGATGTCTGTAAAAGGCTAATGACCCACTCTTGTAACAGAAGAACTACCTGCTTTCTCAATATGGAAGAGGACAGCTACTTTCGCAATTTCACTAAGCAGGGTGCTGGCCGGCGTGGTGGTGCACGCCTCTGATCCCAGCACACAGGAGGTGGACCTCTGTGTTAGAGACCAGGCGGGTCCACATGATGAGTTCTACGATAGCCAGAGCTACACCGTGAGACCCCACCTCAAAACACCAGACAAGGTCTGAAAAGACGCTCTACCCATACAAACAAGCTGTGTGCATACAGCAAAGTACAAGTTTGGCAGGCCTACTGGTTTGGATCTTCCAGTGAGGAGGCCTCTTTGTTGGGTCAGCTTTCAATCATCTGTAACTGCAGTCCCAAAGGATCAACCCCCTCTTCTGACCTCTGCAGGCATGACCCATACATATGGGGCAAACATACAAGCAGACAAAACACTCCTATACATCAGACAGACAGCCAGACAGAGACAGACAGAGGAATTTGAAATATAAAGGAATACAGGAAGGCTGAGGGTACTTAGCTTTTTTCCAAGTGAATTTTTCATATAATAATAAAACAGTTGCCACACTCTTTGGGTGACAAGGCACTTTTAAAACATTATTATAAAATAAAATAAAAAATACATAACACACTCATCTACTTTATTAAATAGAAGCCAAGCTCCTACAGTTTGAGATGTGATAATATGAATTAATATACTAAACTACAAACAACATGACTTGCAGAAGGCCCAAACTGCTGCTGTAATGAGTCCTTATGTCTTCTACTTATTTTAGTTTAAGCTTTTTAATTACACTTTCTATGTATTCCTGAGTTTATGTACATGTGTACAATGGTGCATGTGTAGAGTCAGAGGACCACTCTCAGACGTTGGTTCTCTTTGCATCATGTGGATCCCGGGACTTAAAGGCAGGTCTTTGACTTGACAGCAGGAACCTCTATCAACTTAGCCATCTTGTCAACCATTTAGTTCTTCCTTGTCAGTCAGCTTTCAGACCCTGCAGCTATTGCACCTCTCTCTAAAAGCAACACACCCCGGGGCTGGAGAGATGGCTCAGTGGTTTAGAGCACAGGCTACCCTTCCAGAGGTAGGGTTCAATTTCCACACCCACATGGCAGCTCACAACTGTCTTTAACTCCAGTTCATACCAGTGCACATAAAAGAAAATTAAAAAAAAAAAAAGATTAAAAGTAATGAACCCCAATTCAACTTTGCTGCCTCAGATCTCCTGAGATATACACAGGACTAATTTTAAGACAAGTGAACAGGTTGTAATAGCCCACGAAATGCTTGGTGAATGATATGACATTTATTCTAACTGGACAAAAGTCTTTTTTCCTGGTGCTAAAACATATTCTGGATAGCTGAGGTTGTCAAATATACAAAGTGTGTGTGGTGAAATTATGCTTATGGTAGACAAGGCCATCTCTTCATAACCTCCTCTAAATCTGTACATAATGCGTCATCTACAAGCTCAAAGAACTGAATATGTACACCCTTACAGATCTAGCCGCACTTCTATTTTAAAAGCTAATTTGGGTTGGTGAGATGGCTGAGTGGGCAGAGACTATTTCTACCCACAACTCACAACCTTCGCTCTGTCCCGAGCCACCACCTGGTGGGAGCAGGGAAGCAGCTCCACAGAACTGACCTCCAACTGCTACATGTATGCTGTGACACATAAACTCAACCACACATAGAATGGATGAGGTAGTGACACCTGAAAAACAAAAAATAAAGTCTGTCCTTTCTGACTTGGTTACTGCAGAACTGACTATTCTCTGCAAAGCTGTTTTTGAAAGAGCTTTTCTTTCATGACACTAGATTTCTTTAAATTACTATTTAGTTAATTATTATATATACTTTTCTTTTTGCTTGAATATATGTATGTGCATGAGATTCTGCTTCATATTTGTACCAGGTGCGTACCTGTCAGATCTCCCAGAATTGATGTTACAGATGGCTATGAGCCACCATGTGCATGCTAGGAATCAAACTTGGGTCCTCTGCAAAAGCAGTGAGTGTTCTCTCAGTAACCGAAGCAGTTCTTGACACTAGGGTTTAAAACTGACTGGTAAGATCCACCTTATAGTAAATAAATAAATCAGTTTTTCTATGTATTAAGCAGTTAACTACATTTCATACAAACAACACAAGGAACTTACTAGACCATTTATATACCAAGTGACTTTAAACTGGAATTGAATTATCAAAGTTACTTTCCACTGAATGTCTGCTGCCATCTTCCATGATCTACATAATCTCAAAGGTAAGAAAACAACAGCCAAGCCGCCAAATCCAGAATGCCACCTGTTTCCTAAATAAAGTCTTATGAAACTAGCCACGCCCACTTGTTTATACACTGTCTGTGGCTGATCTGCCTGCTCAACAGCACAGCAGAGCAGTGACACAGATTATAAATGACCCTGCAGTCTGAAATATTTTACCATCTGGCCCTTTACAGAAGAAGTTTGCTAACTTCTGCTTGCTTTATACTAGTCTCATTCCCTTATGGAGTTAATACTCTGAAACAGACTCCAACAAACACACAGTCTCACACACACAAACACACACACACACACACACACACACACACACACAATCAATGGAGGTGACGCCTTCCCAGCAAATGGCCATTTTAACTTAAGTATTTATTGACCATGAATTATGTGCATTGGTGCCCATGCCCACACATGCAGAAACATAAAGAAACAAGACTACTATCACAGCAACACTAGGCAACTTAACACAATTTTTACCTTAAAAGCTTGACTTTTACCTAATTTCATTCCCTAACTAGAAATGCATCAAAAGGTAGCTTTGACTTTAATATTCAGTTAAAAGTCCATTCTTGCTTTGGCTTCTGTCCAGTACCCAAGACCCATGCTTTGGCATCATTTCTGGCCTTCCTGAATGTATCATGTAAAGAACTACATACATTATCAGCCCACAGCCTATCAGAACAGCTTCAGAATAAAGACTATCATTTGGATTTACTCAGATTTTTTTCCCCAAAATTAGGAAAGTAGAGTCTAAGAAGACATCTCAGTCAATAAAGTGCTGCATAAGGGCAGATGTGTGGTGACACACCTCTAATTCCATAGAGTTGAGAGAGAAAGACAGGAGGATCCTGGGACCTCACTGGTCAGCCAGTCTAGCCAATCAGTGAGCTTCACCATCTGTGAGAGATGCTGTCTCAAAAAAAATGCTGGACAGTGATAGAGAAAGATACTCAGTGTCTACCCTTGCCCTGTGTGGGTGCTCATACACGCACAAAGACACACACACACACAGGCACACACCCACCCATACCCACTCATGCACAAAACAAGCTTGGAACTCACATAAAAGTGAAGAGATTCAAGTCCACAAAGTTGTCTTCTGTCCTCCACACATACACCATGGCATGCATGCTCACAAGACTGCATCATGCGTGTGCACACACGCACACACACACACACAGTTAATAAATAAATAATGTAAAATATATTCTTGGTATGCAAATCATACAAATGAAATGTAAAATAATTAAAGATAAATATAAGACTCTAATTTGGGGTCTGAAAAGAAGGCTTAGCAGCCAAAATCATTTGCTGCTCTTGCAGAAGACCCAGGTTTTATTCCCATAACCACCTCAGATGTCTCACAACTGCCTGTAATTTCAGCTCCACAGGATCTGACACTATCTTCTGACCTAGTAGAGTACTGCGCACACAGGGTGCATGCAACATATACCTAGGCACATACACATATATATAAAATAAAAAGTATTGAACCAAATATTCAGTTTAAAATAGCTAAATACATAGAGAAACAGACTGACAGCTAATACTCAGAATATTTAAATAACTAGAACAGATATCCCTTGAGCCAACAAGTATAACTCATTGTTATTTTTATTTAGAATGTATAGGAGGGAGAGAGAGAAAAGAGAGAGAAAAAAGAGAGCGCACATGCACAAACAAGTGGAGGTCAGAGAACAGTTTTCAGGACTCAGTTCTGCTTCTATGTAGATCGCAGGAATGGAACTCATGCTGTAAAGTTTGGCAGTAAGCGCATTTACCCACTAAGCCACCTTGCTGACCCTAACTCTAAATTTTTAACTGGACTGTAAAACATCATAATGAAGACTAACTTTTTCACAATTGTTATGTTTAAGTGATATGCCTGCTTTCAAATTATGAAATAAAATAATACTCAAAAAGTTCAATTCACAGACAATTCTTTTAAGAAATATTTATTTGGGACAGATATCTTCTGAGGAATTAAAAGAATGTAAACGAGCCAGGTGTGGAGGTGCACACCCTTAATCCCGGGGAGGGAGAAGCTGCTGGATAGCTGTGAGTTGGAACCAGCCCGGCCTATAAAGTCCAGAGCAGCCAAGGCTACACAGAGAAACCCTGTCTCTGGAGGGGGGTGGGGTGGGGGAGAATGCAAACTGCATTCCACATTTTCATAAGAGGGGGAAAAAACTCTAGAAATCACACATATCACAATAAAATTAACTTCGATCCACACAGATTTCAAATTGATACTGTGTTCCAAAAATCGACTGGTGACATCAGCTTTAAACAATTATGAATATAAGTTTTGTTACTTGTCACTGACTGAGCTCGGTTCAATATTCCTCTGTGTTAAAATATTTTCATCCAGAGACTGGAGAGATGACTCAGTGCTTAAGAAACCTGGCTGCTCTTCCAGAGGACCCAGGTTCAATTCCCAGCACCCACACAGAACAGTCTATAACCCCAGTTCCAGGGAACCTGGTATCCTTCTCTGGACTCCACAGCCAACAGGCACACATGTGGTACACATACATACCAAAAACACACATACCACATAATGTTGAAGCTTCCCTGTTGGTTTTAATCCACACTAATTCTGGGACAAGAGGCAGTAATTATCAAAAACCCAACAATCAATGCTGTATTAGCTAAAACAAAAAAAAGTTTTAATGAAAAAACAGAAGAAACTATACATAAAAACAAACACTTTCAAAAAGTAATGTATGTATGGTGGCTATAAGCTGTAAACCCAGTGCTTAGAAAGTTGAAACAGGAAGACTGATGAGAGCTTGAGTGCGACCCTAAAACTAAAGCATACTCTAACTAGAATGCAGCTCAGTGGTAGAGTGCCCACTGACATGCACAAAGCTCGGGGTTCAAATCAAAATATCACACACAGAGAATAGTTCCCTTCATCCATCCATTCCATATGCACATTCACAAATGTTACAGGATTAAAAGTATCCAACTCATCAGTTAGCACTTTTTAATACCAAGGATTATATACACGGATGGTTATTTATGTTCTTCAAATCTAATGCCCAGCTGATGTCTAGAAAATGAAACAGTGATAGTCTGTTTATAAAATAAATATTAATGATTTTGTTATTTATAAATAGTTTTCTGTCTTGATTATAATTATGTTTATTCTTACATACTTCCATGTCAACATACACAAATTAAAATATACTAATAAAACATTATTAATATAATATAATATAATATAATATAATATAATATAATATAATATAATATATAATAAAAAAGGTCATCATACTTAAGGATTACAACATTTTAAATACTGATGACAGCAAACAGATTTCCTTTACCAAAGACTGAAATCATCAAAAAAAAAAAAAAAAAAAAAAAAGAAGAAGACAGCAAGGAAGCCCAGGGATGAGTCACACATGAGCACAGGCATTAGCATGTGTGGTAAATACACCTCATGGTTATCACAGTGACGTGAGGAAAGTTGGCACTGGGGAAGCGGAGGCATGAGGACCAACACAAGTTCAAGGTCAAGGTAGTTTACATGGGGACTTGCAGGTAAATCAACTGGACCTAGTGAAGCCCTGTCTCAAAAGAACAAAAATTAAAAAAACGAGGAAGGTATCACATATATAGAAGGCCTTCATCAAATGGGTCAGAAATATAGCAAAAAGAGTTGTTTTGTTGTTGTTGTTGTTTTTCAAATACCTTTAGGATATTAAAAATATATACATTTCCAGTCCTCTTTTTTGGGAAAAGGTGCCAAGAACGTCTTATTATTAAAGCTCTTAAAAGCAGTGTGAGTGCGCCTGTGGAGGAGTGATGGCAGGCAAGTGCCATGGTCATTGGGTCAGTCTTAGAATTACTGCCTAACTTGACCAAAGCACAGAGCTGGACCTGCTTCCTCAGCAACACAGTGTATATATGAGTAGCCAATCACACAACATACCTGGTGAACCTGAATTTCCACTTTAAGAGCCTCCTGTAGAGTCTGCAACTCCATCCTCTACCTTCTCCACTTTCTCTTATGTCGGCTAATTCTACAGTGTCTTCAGCCTCCGTTTAAAATAACAAGCTCCTCTTGCTGCTGCAGCTGTAGAGATCATAAGATGTTTGGGATTCAATGTGTTAGGAATGAAGAAAATTTTTGTCAAAATAATTAAATTAAAAATACTATATTTTGTAACATAAAGAAAAAAGTATCCCCAAAGGACTTTTTAAAAACCATTCAGTACCAAAACTTTCCGGGTTTTCTTCTTTTGAGCTTTCTTCCATAGAACACATCAAATAACTAAGAAAAGAAACACCACAGCAAAAGTGACAGTGAGGAAGCACATGAACATCCACTGTGTGCTCAGCCCTGAGGAACACTCGCACCTCGATGAGAGCTAGCAGGGGAGACTGTCCTCACCCAGAACACTCAGACACAAAACTTTTAAATCAAAGTGCACTGGAGAATTCCCAGTCTCCCACGGGTTAAGTTAAACCACCGTGAGGAAGTATTTTAATTTGGCTGTATTCTTACTCTAAAAACAAGTCCTAATACAAAGGGAAAGTCTTGTGTGACTTAAATGTTTTATTTCAACAAGTTAATATTTAACACAAATACAATGCACTGAAACACTGCAGTTACAGCCAGAGCTGAAGGAACCTGTCTTAGTGGGTAGCACTTGAGATGGTGTAATTGGGGGCACATGTTTCCAGCTTTATAGTGACCACTGTATCCTTTTCAAACTTGCCAGTCCATCTCTCTTACCACATGTGTAACTGTATGTGGAGATGTCAAAAGTCGGAACTTATAACTGTAACTGGGACACCCTGTCCCATCTTCCTGTCCTATACCATCACTATGGCAGCTTAACCAAATGGTCTATCAAAGCAAAGGCATATTTTTTGTCTGAATAAACTTAAATTTTGTTTAAAATTTTCTTCTTTATCCATATAAAAGCTATAGCCAGCACTGTTCTTTGGCACTGAGGAAGGAAGCTAGTACCTGACTTTATGACTCCTGACCACCAGGAAACAGCCAAGGATTTACCCAGACAGTCCTCATAAGTCTGAGTTTCTCAAATTCTGCAATCCTGAGTTCACAGAGCTACCGTATCATTTGCCATACACCATATTCTTAGGATTTCTAGTTTTCATTATATTTACTTAATCTCTCTGGGCTTAAAACATCAATGACAATCTCCCCTCTGGGATTTATACATTATGTTATAAAAAATCAGAATATCTGAACCTAAAAAAAGATTAAATTCTCAAAGTGAAAAATTCTTCCAAAGTCACATCTCTAAAAGCTGGCAAAATTTACTGTTAATCATAAAAATTTGTATAGGCAGGACATTTAGGGGAAATAATTTTTAAAAGGAAACATATCATGAATTTAAGTCACTGACTATCCTAAAAACTGTTTGGAATTATAATAAATACCAGAATCATTAGTAACTCATGTAGAGCAAGACTTCCACAGCCATTTACACTTTCCTGATTTGCAACTGCTAATTTGAAAACTGTATCAGCCACTTCAATTTTAAGTGCTAAAATAATCTCTCTTCTCAAACTCTTAATTTATACATGACAGTTCTGTGTACAGGGTTTCACTCTGTAACCCAGACTTGCCTCAAACTTCCTATAGAGCCCAGCCTGGCCTTGAACTCACAATCCTCCTATCTTGACCTCCTGAATCCTGGGATATAAACATAATCTACCACACCGTTTATATAAGTTCTTAATTTTTGCAAAGCTCTCCAGAAAATGTGTCCAAAAAGATTCCCTTTGTACATGAAGGATAACCATGCCGCAAGAGCATGTTCAAGATCAGAAAGGCCTTTGCTCCACTGCTAGTGACATGTCTCATGATGGCTCAGCTGAAATCCGGCTCTGGAAACAACCAGATCACAGACATAGAGAACTTACACACCTGCTACTGAAGGTCAGCAGTGTTTATACAGTCCAGGCTCTCACACATTAATTAACAAAAAAGCAAAAATGGGCAGAAAGGAATTCCCACAGGTAGTAAGAATGACCAACAGAAGAAACGTGAATTCAAAGTACTTGACATACATGAATGAAAATCCCTTTATGAAGCCATCCTAAATGAATATATACTCATAACAATTTTACTGAACACTGACCAATGACTATGAAAACAGCCATCTGTACTAATGATGTAAACATAAGCTTAAGAAGGTCTGTTTTTGCCCTTAATGCTGAAGATGAATGATAATAAACTCCAGGCTGCCTACAGTGGGTCTATGGCACTTCATAATCTGCTGAAAGCCTTCTCTGACAGAAAGTACTAAGCGCTACTCAACTTTCTTCTTTTGGAGAGTATCAGTATTTTCAAACTTTACAGAGACAATACATATCTCCTTTCAACTAAGAAATGAGAATTAATAAAGCATCAGAAACTTCTATAACATGCAAACAAAAAAAGTCCACAAAAATAAAATAAAGCAACCTTAAAATAAATAAATAAGCAAGCAAGCTGGGTATGGTGGCACACTCCTGTGATCCCAGTAGTTCTAGAGTTCAAGGCCAGCCTCTGAGCTATATACAATGAGCCTGTGACCAGCCCAGGCCATATGATATCCTGTCTCACAGAAAGAAAGAAGAGTGGGGAAGCAGAAGGGGGAGGGAGGGAAAGTAGGAAGGGAAAGGGAAAGAGTGAAAACAAGGTTTTAACCTGGAGTGTCAACACGTGCCGCATAGAGCATGCCTGCCAGTCAAGCTAATGAGGAGCTGACAGCTTTCACTTCCTCCTTCACGTTCTAGTCTGCTTATTAGAGACACACAGACTTTTAAATGCCAATTACCCATTTTGTTCTAGAATGAGACTAAAGGGTTAAAAAAAAAAAAACCCTTGTGAAACTTGAGAAGGACTGGAAGATGATTTTGAAATCTTTCATCAGAAAGGTCTCTTTCCGGACAGCTGTTTTAAGAGATTGGTCTACACAGTTAAAACACATAAAGTTACAATTTACAAACATACGCCAAACTGTGGGGGCCTTTAAAAAGCCCTGGGATGTCAGTGTGTGCGATATTATGTGAAATGACCAGATCAGTCTGCGGCTTCACAAAAGGCAGTACTTCTCAAACATTTTAAATAACGTCGATTTTCTGGTGGGGCACACATGGCACACACGTGTATGTCAGTCAGAGGACAATTTAAAGTTGGCTCTTTCTTTTCACCAAGTGGGTTCTGGGGATCAAACAGGTCCTCAGGCATGGTGGCAAGTGCCTTTACCTACTAAGCCATCTCGTCAGCCCCCAAAAGGTAGGAGATAATTTATTATATTTTACCTATTCCTAATAAGTTGAGCATGCGTGTGTAAAACAAATCAGTTACAGAAAGGTGACTATAAACAGACTCACAAGACAGTAACAGATAGACACTTTCTATCCAGCATCCCCACATACCTCCATCGCTCAGGGTACGGTCTATAATCCTATAATAATAATACTTTGGAGGTGAAGGCAAAAGGATCAGGAGTTCAAGGTTATCCTTAGCTACATTGTGAGTTCAAGGCCAACGTGGGCTATAAGAGGCATTGTCTCAAACACACACATTCACAGATAGAAAGAGAGAGAGAGAGAGAGAGAGAGAGAGAGTCATAATGGGTCAAACAGAACAATAATCAGATCTCACCCAAAAAGGGGTAGCTGGATGATGAAGAAAGAACATTATTGCCTCCCACAGAACAAACAAATCCATTCGTTCATTGTGGCCAATCTTATCCTCCGGGAAAATGGGGCGCATGTCACCTGAGCAGGACTGTTATGAGGTTTAAATCAAGTGAGGATCTCACAAAAGCCTTTTGCAAACCATCAAGTTCTGAGCTACTGGCATACTTCTTCATGCTTAAACTTTGAATAAAACGTCTCAAATCCTCTGGCTGAAGAGGTGCTCAGTGGCTGAGAGTAGGTCCCAGATGTGGCTCCTGCATCTGGTGCACAGATGTACATGCACACAAAACACTCATACACCCAAAATAACAAAAATGAATCTAAAAATATAAAATAAAACACTAAAAACACCTCGCATTCTCTAAGGACTGGACTGTTACTGCTCTCAACAGTTGTGTGTGAGGCCACACAAACTCCAGGCCCTTCTGCTGTGACCTGTAGGGAGGTTCTCTCCCCTTTCATTGCTAAGAAATACTTTGCTACAAAACTGACAAGAATTTCTGTCCCATCCAACTCTGACAGGTCAACAAATTGTTACTTTAATAAGTTCATGACACAGTGTGCTCCCAAACTGTCCCTAAAAGGTATCTGCTCTCTACAAACATGCATTTCTTGCACATACAAACGTCTCTGTTTCTGATCTACATTCACTGACGTTTTTTGAGAGAGTTACTATTTTAAATAGGAAAAAGCAGATACAGATCTATATATCCTTTTATCAGGTTCCAAAACTAAAATACTAGGCTTCAATTTCTTACTATGTATTTAAAATACCTTTGATGATTAACCAATAGTGCTGAAATTACCATCATGCTAAAAGAGGCCTTTTAATAGCACCTGTTGAAAGTTTTAAGTATTATTAATATGAATCAAAAATAATATTAAGAAATTTAATTTTTCCTTCTTATTCTGAAAATATTCTCACTTGTTTTCACAGCAGTATTTCTTTGCTGACACTCCACAAGTCAACAAAATATAAACCTGACAACCAAGGCTGGAGAGATGGCTCAGAGGTTAAGAGCACTGGTTGCTCTTCCAGAAGTCCTAAGTTCCAATTCCAGCAACCACATGGTGGCTCACGACCATCTATAATGAGATCTGGTGCCCTCTTCTAGCCTCCAGGCACAACACTATATACGTAATAAATAAATAAACAAACAAACAAATAAATCTTTAAAACAAAAACAAAAACCCCCAATAACCCTGACTTTGGAGGCTGCCTATTCTTGGACTCAACTGGGTATGTCAGCTATTGACAAAACTGCCATAGATAATTGGGTGTTTCCAAACTATTAAATTAGTTACTATTGTTTACTAATTAACAAATGATGTTTCTTATCTGTTAAATTATCTCTGTGTGGGTTTACAGGAAAGAGAACAGGTCATTTTTCTAAAGACTACATTCAGAGCTCAGAGCTCTGCAACACAGGGCTCTTGTGGATTCTGGGTCAGGTTAGGAATTCCCCAAAACATTCTTCTCAGAGGCTGTGCCTCTTCCTCACCATCAGGCTCATTCCAGGGTATAATCAAACCCAGCCACTGGGACACAGGCTGCCTGCATACTCCCACTCTTCCATGTCATTCCTTTAGTAGGGAAAGCATGTATATTAAAACCCTAACCACACCCAACACTGGGGACACTGAGGTAAAATTCAAACTTTATAGAAACTGGAAATGAAGGTTGGAGGGTGCTATACAAAAGCAGAGTGATGAAGTGTCTCAGGTTTTAGAACTGGCTGCCACATTTACTAAAAAGTAACTGAATGATTTGGGGGTTCAGGCAAGCGAAGGCAGAGCTTACAAATATATCCCACAAACATGGTAACACCGGAAGGTGACCCAGCAGAGTCAGGGGACAGACTTCAGATCAATCTAGAAATGAACTAAGGACTAGAGCTTACCTTATGAGGTAGTGGGCTCCCTGTCATTAGAAGTATTCAAGAATGCTGCATATCATATCCCCATCATGGATATCCACAATGCACATTAGCACATTAAAGGTTCTGAGAAGTCCTGCAGTAAAGAGAACTGTTTGACTTTGTTCAATGCAAAATTTCCCAAATTATTTGACCACAGAGCCTTTCCCCCGCAGCCTCAGGCTCTGTAGGACAGCGTTTCTCAAAGCATATTCATTAAGAAACAAGGGCCTACATTTTCAAACACAGCACTTAGTGTGCACTTGAGTAAGTAACAACCTGTCAGGGATGTGGGAAAAAACAACAACAACAACAACAACAAAAAAAAAAGCTGCTATGCAGAACAGATTCCATGATTCTACCACACCATAAGGTAAAGGATCTTGACTGTTACTTTACGAGGTTCCATGAGAGAAAAATCAATAAAATTAAATGGTAGCAAAATCCAAGGTTCGTTGGTTCAAGAGTCTCCCTTTTATGTTCAAAACCCAGAGGGATATTAAGAAGGACCACAAAACCAAAAATCTGCTGGGCATGGTAGTGCTCCACGCCTTTAATCTCAGCACTCAGAATAGGCAGATCTCTGTGTTTTCAAGGCCAGTTTATAGTCTATATGGCCAGCCAAGGCTACAGAATGAGACCCTGTCTCAAAAAAATAAAACCCAAACCAAAAATCTGCTCTATCTATTCAACCCACAGAGTTCACTACTATTTGGGGATAGGATTTTTTTTTCAAAGCAGCCTTACATTAGAGAATTACACAATTGTAGCTTGAATTTGTTTCATAGCACATGCACTCCAAATAAATAAAGTTAGTATCTGCCAAGTGCTTAGTTCATCAGATCACCCAGTGAAATCTAGGATCTTAAATTAAGATATCCAAAAACTGAATAAGTACAATAATTTGTTAGCTATTAAAAAGTCTATGGAATGCTGGGTGGTGGTAGTGCATGCCTTTGATCCCAGCAATTGGGAGGCAGAGGCAGGAGAATCTCTGAATTTAAGGTCAGCCTGGTCTACAGAGCGAGTTCCAGGACAGCTAGGGCTACACAGAAAATTCTTGTCTCCGAAAACCAAAAAAAAAAAAAAGTATTTGCCTCTCTCTCTCCTTTTAAAAATTATTAAAAAAAAAAAAAAGCAAAGCACACTAAAAACATAATCTCAGACTTGAAGTATAAGAACAAGACATCAAGAGGCTCCAACTCCAAGGTGAAGGTCTCATGGCCAAGGTAGCCTAGACAGCCTGTACAGGGAGACCACAAGTGTAAATGCAGTAACGCAGGACATAATGGGGACCTGAACTGACTTTGACTTCTCAGGCATAACTACTATATCAAGGGCATTTTGGCAACAGGGCCTTCAAGTTTTAATGAGTTCAAATTCAGGAGCATGCAAGTTTAGCGGAGTTGTCAGAAATACAAATGCATTTCAGATACAGGTACGTGAAGCTAAAAATTCACTTTCAGTGCAAACAGCAAAGCCTTGTTTGGAGGAGGATGCTTTTTTTGGAGGGGGAAAAGTCATCTACAAAAAAAATCAATATTTGAATAAGTCCAGCTAAAATAAAATCAGTGTGCTTGCTTAGTAAAAGTACTTACCAATTTTGGGGGAACTGGCTCTCCTTCAACTCTCTAATCCCCTGTAACAGAAGAAAAAACAGAGTCAAAACTACAAACAGATTTCTGATGTCATCAAAAGCTAAAGACTCAAAGATTTATGACTTTAAAGGGAGGGAAAAAAAACCTAAACACATACCAATTTCCAAATTTTAAAACCCAACAGTAAACAAGGAAGAAATGAGTAGTTTTTTAGAGCAAAGGAACGTAAGAGCAGTTAAATCTATGCTTTCACACAGTATTTCAAGACCTGGAAAACAAGCATAGATGACCCTGTGCTAAGGGCAGACATCCTGAGCGAAATATCAGAGCAGAAACTTCAGTTCCTCAAAAAACTAACTACTATCACCAAGCTGTCAACAGGAAACCTCACCAATGAAACCAACAGTTACCAACTTATACTGTGTGTGTTTTGGGTAGCATACAAAGCCCATGGAAAGTGAGTGATGACCAAGGATGAACCACCTCCACACACCTTCCATAGAGTCACACACCTGAGCTCAGGGCCACACTGGGAAAGCAACAAGAGGGACTAAAATTATTCAATCCTGCAGCGTTAGCGGCCAACTTTATGTAGCTATGACCTGACACTTATGCTTGTTTGCACTGCTCTCGGCAATAAATACAGCACGTGCACTTGTGTGTCTACTCTATAGACTGATAAAGACCCATATGTACTTTATTTGCTCAAACGGCTCCACTGCCATCTCTTTACAATAAAGCATAAAGAATAGTGTAAGGCCCTTTTGTGGGGCTGTAGAGATGGCTCAGTGGTTGAGAGCACTAAATGCTCTTCAGAAGGACCTCAGTTCAGTTGCTAGCACCCACACTGCAGTTCATGGCTGTCTGTAACTCCAGGATCCAGCACTCTCCCAGAGACATGCATATAGACAGGGCATCGATGTACATAAAAATAAAAATAAATTAAAAAGAAAATAACAAGCTGGGCATGATGGCACACACCTTTAATCCCAACACTCAGGGAGGCTGAGACAGGCATATCTCTGTAAGTTCCAGCCTGCTCTTCAAAGTAAGTCCAGGACAACCAAGGTTACATAGAAAGCCATGTCTCAAAAAGCCAAATAGTAAATAAATAAATAAATAAATAAATAAATAAATAAATAAGGTCTTTTTGTAATAAACTTTGAAAACTGATTTGCCTCACACAGGCTTTAGTTCATAATATTACATATTGTATAAAATAAATACATATTAAAGTACAAATAAATAATATAATCAGAATTTTAATCAAATTTTCATCTATATTCTTAAATTTATATCACTGCTTGGGACTGTAAGCCACAAAAACAATGATTCTTCAATGCCACATTTATAATCAGTGATAAAGCCAGAAGAAAAATCAAAGTTTTGGTATCCTGAGCAAGTATTAGGGAACTAAAATTAAAATGGAGCCCTTAACACTTTGGGCACTGGCCTGTCTAAACTCCAGCTAACACACTCTGTCCTCACTACGCCTAAAACAAAACGTTTGCTGACCTATGCTACTCCAAGTGTCTCGTTTCCTCAAGTATTTCAAAGACCCTGTCTCTCAGATGGAAAGTTGTTAACCATGTACAGTCATGTTAAGCATAAAGGTATTTAAAGGCCCCTGATGCATGCAGTCTATATTTACTTCCAAAAGGAATTAACTTGGCTATTCTCCCCTCTTCCTGCTCCTCTTCTTCTTCCTTTTTCTTGTTTGTTTTGTTTTCATTTAAGAGAAGGTCTCTCTGCATATCCCTGGCTGTCCTGAAACTCACTATGTTTGCTAGAAGTTGGCTAGAACTCAGGACCACCTGCCTCTGCCTCCTGAGATTAAAGGCCTATACTACTTTCCCCAGCTCCTCCTTTTTCTCTGAATTCCAGTTCTTTTTCAAAGTTCTCAGGAGTCCATCTAAATAGCTACTTTAATCATCACAATTAGAATGAATTCCCAAACATAAGAAAAATCATTCAAAAAATCTGTAAAATAATGCAGTTACTAAAAACTAGACTCTATGTGTCTTCTTGCTTCAGATGACTTCCTCTGCCAAAGAGGGTAAGTTTTGAGCCATAGCCAACCCCTACTAAACGGATTTAGGATCAGCAGGTGCAATTAACAGTAACAGTTTCACGTGTGCAATAGTCTGTCTCTTCAAGTTGTTTTCCATGCATAACCCACATGCAGGAAAAATTCCAAAAGCATGCTAAGACTGTTGAGAGATGAGTTTTCTGCTGTTTGAGTACTAGTGAACTCTCATGGAGACTATCTTTATTTGTTACAGGTCTTAAGCTGTAGAACACATTTTCCCCCTCATTCTTGTTTGTTGTATTTTCTTTTTAAGAGTTATTTATTATTTATACAACATTCTGCCTGCATGTGTGTCCGTGCACCAGAAGAGGGCACCAGATTTCATACAGATGGTTACGAGCTACCATGTGGTTGCTGGGAACTGAACTCAGGACCTTTGGAAGAGTAGCCATTGCTCTTAACCTCTGAGCCAGCTTTCCAGGGGTCCCCTCCTTTCTGTTGTTGTTGTTGTTGTGGTTTGGTTTGCTTTTGGTTTTTTGAGACAGGGTTTCTCTGTATAGCATTGGCTGTCCTGGACTCACTTTGTAGACCCAGGCTGCCCCTGCCTCCCAACTGCTGGGACTAATGGCTTGTGCCACCATGCCTGGTTTGTTGTATTCTTTAACAAGCTTTTAAATACTTTTCTCCTCTACATTCTACATTGTCTTTGTGTCTTCAACAACTAAAAACTATTTGGGTATACAGTCATTTTTTGTTGTTGTTGTTGTTTTTTAATAACATTTCTTCAATTTTGTGACTTTTAATGATAGCTTTTATGATTATTGCTTCTCAGGTTCTAAGATCCTTTCAAATAAAATATAATTAAGCCCATAGAAGTAGGTTCTTATCATTTCAGTTACTATCGTGAAGGGTCCACAGTTCCACTCAAAGGCTGCCTAGAACAGTACCAGGCACACAGTGAGCACACAGTGAAGCAATGGACTGAGAGAGCTGCAGGCTCCTCTTCCCATATCTCAACTCTCTTGTTAGATAACTCCTCATACATCACTCTCCCACTGTGTTAACTAGTCAAATGGATGACTTTCTAAAAGTGTTTTATCCACACTGTTCACCAAGAAGATAATACCATTTTAAAATATAATGAAAAGAAAAAGAAACACTGATAAATTGGACCTAACTAAAGAACTTGTTCATTTCAAATACAAAATGATCCCAGCACTCTGCAGGCAGAGGCAGGCAATCTCTATGAGTTTGGGGCCAGCCTGGTCTACAAAGTGAGTCCAGGACAGCCAGGGCTACACACAGAGAAATCCTGTCTCAAAAAAACAAGAAGAAAGAAAAATAGAAAGAAAGAAAATTAAACACCATGTGATGCATGAAGGCCAAAAAAATAGCTCAGTGGGTCAAAGTGCTTATAGCCAAGCCTGACAACAGGATTCACTCACACTGTGGAAGCCACATGGTAAAAACTCACTCTGTGGACGATTCCTGCAAATCACCCTCTGGCTTCCATGTCCACAGGTATAAATACATAAAAGTAGTATTTTTTTAATGAATACATAAGCTGCAGAATCAGAGATAACTGTGGCATATATAATTCATATATATATGGAATTTTATGTATCCAGGATATATAAAATCCACTGACACTAAAACATGACCAGGAAAGAATGGGATTTTACTTCTATGCGACATCAAGAAAAGTATAATGACACACACTCTTCAGAAGTCAACAGAAAGTCAGTACAATGTATGCATGTGTATCTACTGCCCAGGCATTTCCTTCAGAATTCAGTAGCAGAGCCAATCCTCAGCTAATAAAGTGAAAACCATGAAGCCTAAGATCATGACACTGATTATAAAACGCTTGTAAGGACTACAGAAACCACAGGAAAGCAAGGCAATGGTGGGAAGGAGAGCACTGGCTGGAGGAGGGCACACTAGTGCCTGCGCACACTTCCCCACCCAACATCACTTGCTCTGAGGCACGGTGGACTTCTTCGCTTTTCTAAGAAATGAGCAACATCCAGAGGTTAAGAGCACTGGCTGCTCCTCCAGAGGACCCAGGCTCAGTTCCTAACACCCACATTGTAGCTCACAACTGTCTGTAACTCCAATTCCAGGGGTTCTGACACACAGACATACATGCAAAACACCAATGCACATAAAATAAAAATAAATAAATCCTTTTTTAAAAAGAAAGAAAGAAATGAGCAACATCAAACATGGAGAAATGCTTTTAGCAAAGTTTTAAAGAAAAACACATGTAAGCTACTCAGGGCAAGTTTTAGAATTCCCACAAGCAGGCTTCAGCTCCAACAGACAGTGGATTCTGCACGCATTACAGGAGACGTAGCTTCAGTGAAGCAGGTCCAAATGTCAACCAGACCCTCAAGGAGACCCAGACACCCAAGAGGAGCAGATTATTCTCAGACTAACATTCTTCAGGTCTGCACCCCAATGCTTCCAGTGTCTACTCTGGAGACTGACTGTCGGCTGACTACCAAATGGCAAAGAAAAAGAAAAGTAAATATTTCTAAATTATATATATATTATATATATATTACAATTACATATGCTGAGCAGCAAAACGTAAGGCTGACATGTAAGTCAGCACTTTTTGCACTATCCATGTGCAGAACGTACCTGAGTCTGCAGTTTTATTTCCTAACCTCAGGCTGATAAAAAGAGTCTGTCATTCTCTCACTATGTTTCACACCTGTAACTGAGGTCTTTCAAAATATTAATTAATAAATCTGCTTAAGTATTTCACAGACGGATTTTTTTAATTGAAAAATATGCTCAAGAGCTGGACACAGTGACTTGTCCATGTGCCTGCAACTTTAGCAACTGGGAGGCAGCTGAGACAGGAGGATTCTGGGTCAAAAAACAGGCTGGAGAACACAGCAAATTCCAGGCTGGTCTGAGCCACAGTAAAACCTGGGTTACACAGTGTTTCAGACAAGTCAATCAAAAGACATTCGAAATACCCAAGTTAGAGTAAAAACAATT